TGCAACAAATGACTCGTTTATAATGGGTTTTAATGTTTTTGTCTCGTCGTTCCGGGACACAGCATCACAGTATGGTAAGGGGCGTAGCATTTCCGTCACACGCTTGAGGTATTCGGCCAATCACAACGCACTGGATAGCTGGCCAATCAGAGCACACCTCGCTTTTCAGACCGATGAGCTTTGTAAAAATCTACGCATTTCAGAAAGGCGGGGCATAGAGGAGAAACAATAATGTACAGTATGTGGAAAATAATGTGTTTTTTAACCTTAAACCGCATAAACACATTACACCAAATACACAAAATAATGTTCTTTTTAGCAACATCATATGACCCCTTTAAAGTCATTATGCAGGGAAATGTCTACTAACATATTTATTTACTTTTAGATTATGTTATATACAGCTGTAACATTGGCTGTGGTAAAAAGGCCAGACATTTTCACTGCTGCAAGTGTCCCAAGACTTACTTCAAGAAAAGTGAGCTAAAAAGGCATCTTTGCAGCACTCATCCAATAGCTCCAGAAGCACCTTCTTTACAGCCACCAGCACCTGGTCCACTGGAATTACCAGCTCGTCCAGTGATGGCTAAAAGAAAGCAAATCTCAGCGCAGTGTCCTCACTGTGGGCTCAGTCTTAATTCTAAAAATTTAAAGAAACACATTGAGCGGAAGCATCATGAAGCCTTGCATACCATAACTTCAGTTCTACCAGCACAGTGTGTCGATAACAAGAATGGAATATACGTTGTGTCAGAATCATTTTGTGAGCCCTGTACCCCCATCCATGTGGTCAAAAAATTTTGGGGTTCATCCCACAAGGTTAAGTGTGAAATGGATAATTGCAACAATCGTGTTGAAGTTGCACAAAGGAGAGGACTTTTGGTTGCGCAGTGTGTACATCTAAGCTCAGTAGACTACACCTGTGCTATTGCACCGAGTGAGGATTTATCAGAGCATGTGTTGACTGAGATGGTGGAGCGGAAATGGATTGGAGATATACGGAAAAAACGATGCCTTAAGATGCAAAATCAAGCTAAGCTTAAAGGTGCCACATTTACTAGCCTTGTTACCATTGGAGGCCCTGACTACATGTATTATATATCAATATATAAGCCAAAGGTGTCACATTACAGTAAACTGGGCAGAGTCTTGGTGGATTACAATGCCAAGACAAACACTTGGAACTGCCCTTGTGGCAAACGTGGAAAATCATGCCTGCACAAGAGTATTGCAAAATGGTGTCTCTATCAAATGAAGAAGCAGCTCTTTAAAAAACCTGCTTGAAGCAGAGGAAGAAAATGAATCGGCGCAACTTGAGGATCTATCTAGCCAACAGTTGTTCCAAAAATGGGTGCCCAGCGACTGGTTGGGATAATGAACTGACACTTCAAATCTGTGATTCTACTGATATCAGAACCCCTGGTTATCCGATGTTCTTCGTGAGCATCGGACCAAACTCAGGGCAGCAGAGAGAAAATGGTGCAAATCAAAAGATCCGTCAGTCCTAAGTATGTATCAGTCTTTGCTTTCATCTTTCTCTGCTGAAGTCCATACTGCCAAATCTTCATACTTCCACAACAAGATCAACAGCGCTCCAGACACACGTAATCGCTTCAAAACTTTCCATTCTCTCCTCTGTTCCCCCAATTGTAAGTCGCTTTGGATAAAAGTGTCTGCTAAATGACTAAATGTAAATGTAAATGTATCAGTGAACAAAGACTGCATGAATGTAAAATGAAGAAAATAAAAAGAAATCCAAAGTCCAATTATTGAATTATTGATTTTGGGAATGTAAATGATTAGTTGACGATTGAGAGAAGCTATGGCGATTATTCTGGGGGAAGAAGAGCATACAGAGACTGTCAGCTTTTTAAAAATACATCACCATTACAGATCCAACAGTGATCCCCTTTGTGTTTTTCAGTTCATAGCAAAGCCCAACACACATTTATATTCATTAATGGAGTTTTATTAAACTAATTTTTTTAATAATTTATTTTTGTATACTGACAAAAAGATTTAAAATATAAAAGTTACAATACATATAACTGCATATAGCTTTGTCTACAGTTTGAATGTATTGGGACAGTTTAAAGCGGTCATTTTTTCTTCCCCCTTGAGGTGTTGGTAGGATTTTTGTATCAGAAACATATCATATAAAAAATATAGAAACCATACAATATTATATACATAAAATATGTATATATGCCATAATTTAAACACTTTCAGATTTATTAATGAAATTTTCCATAATTTTCCTTTTGACATATATGAGCTTATTTACTATAAAAGCATGCTGTTAGTGTCAGCTTAACTCAACTCGAACGTCCTTGTAAGTCCAAAAACAGTTTTTATTGAAATGAAGATTTTTTAAAACATCCTTGTCTGTGTAATGTCATACAGATGAATAGATCAGCACAAGACTGTTGCACAGACACTATCAACACCTGCTACTTCATCAGCTCTTTGGCCTGACCCATTGGTACATTAGTGAGGTGATAAGGATAGAAAGGAGAAATCCGAAACCAGTATCACTTGACTAAAAAATAGCATTATCTGCTGATAGATTGTAATGTTAGGAAAAGCTGCTTAGTTTCCATTATGTGATTGTCTGAGTGGAACATCATTGGATGTTTGGTACATTCCACTGTGAATTAATTTGTAACCAGTCACAAATAAACGCAGGGTTTGCAAACAGCCTTTTACAGGGAGATGGAACCGTCAGCAATGCAGCAGCATGTAAGCATGTCAATTCTAATGCCTAATCCGTCATCAGTGATTTTTGATGACTTCAATTTTTCTGTTTATATGTTGATAAAGCTGTAAAAGTAATGGTCATTTATCTGTAAGTCTTTAAGGAAACATGACCCATAAATGTTTTAAATTATGGGTAGAGCTGCAGTCACGCTAGACTTTAAAACTTATTTGGACACTAAAAAAAATTAAAACAATTGGAAGCCATTTGTAGTTGTAATGTATGTTTGTTTTTTTTTACTTTAAAATGATTATATTCATTCCCACTTTCCTTTCTGCTAAAATAATGCATATGGATAGTTAAAATTTATTGTCACTAGAATATTCCTGCAGTATGATCAGAAACATCCTGTTTCAAAAGGAAATTTTTAAACACAGTAAACTAAATTGTCCTTTTCAAGTGATTTAAAGGCACAATATGTAAGTTTTTGCCACTAGAGGGCGCGTATTCAAAACAAACAAAGAAACAAAGGCGTAGTTAGATGATGCTGTGACCGAGTGTGGAATCATGGGAGTTGTCGTTTTCATCCCCACAGCCGACGCAATCCGATGGGACTCGGGGCAGAAATCATGTTCATGGTTGAGCTGATTTATTAACGTAGTAGTATGAAGCAGGGTGAGGCTGAAAGCCGTCGAAGCGAAACGAGGCCGCTGAAGGAGCGTGACACATGGCTCGAAAGCAGCAGAGCTTTTATTATGCCACAGTCGACCGCTTCCGCTCCTTCCGGTCG